GGAGAGAGGGGAGGAGATGAAGGCAGAGAGGTGACTTTGTGGTGTCTTTTGCTGTGTCTGTCCCCCTACCTGACTGTTGCTCCTTTTGGGCAGGGTTGGGTCTGCCTTGTAAGTCCCAGCATGGTACCTGCCATATAGTGGGTGCCTGTTACATGCTTATTGAATGAATGAATGCATAGATTGTCTCTCCACTTTATAATGTCCTTTGATGCGCGAACATTTCAAATTTTGATGAAGTCCAATTTATTTTTCCTTTTATTCCTTGTACTTTTGGTGTCATTTCTCAGAATCCATTGCCGTATCGAAGTCATGAAGATCTATCCCCACGTTTTCTTCTAAGAGTTTTGTGGCTTTAGCTCTTACACTTGGGTCTTTGATCCATTTTGTACATGCTGTGAGGTAGGGGTCCACCTTTCTTCTTTTGCATTTTGCTCCAGCACCATTTGTTAAACAGACTATTCTTTCCCCATTGAATGGTCTTGTCGACCTTTGTCAGAAAACAACTGGAGATTTCTATATCTATATATCTATATATATCTATATATCTATATATATATATATATATATGTTTATTTCTGGACCCTCAATTCTATTCCATTGATCTGTACGTCTGTCCTATGTCAGTACCACATGAGTTTGATTGCTGTAGGTTTAGTGCCTTTTGAGCCTCAGTTTCCTCTTCTGTAAAGCAGGGTTGGAGATTCGTCCTTGGCAGCCGTTTGTGAATGAAATGAGCAGATACCGTTACGGCAGCTGGCACCAAGTCCGGCCCTTCGTGGTGGTGGGACACGCAGTTGCTGTTATTATTGGAAGGGTGGCCCTTACTTCCAAGGAGTGGGCTTTGCTTCGGGGCTCTCCCGGAGCTGGAAACAGGGCCGGCCACCTTGAGATTGCAGTGAGGGAGCAGGCATCGCCACTGGGGTGGGTGTCCTGGAGGGATGGAACGCCACCTCTTCCCACCAGTCTCTCCCGAGCCGAGCCCAGGGCGGGCCTGCACCTGCAGCTTCTGTGGCTGGGGCCTGTGGAGAGGAGGACCCCATGCTCTGGCATGGAGTCAAAATAAAGAGTGTCAGTCTGTCCGGCGACCTTCTGATGTTCTGTGAATGAGGAAGTAGGATGTCTGAAGTAGGAAGACTGTGCTGCAGGCCTGCAACCTATGATCACCCCTAACACTGTATTACTGAAAGAACTGTGCAGTGAACACCCATGAGCCCACCATTTAGATTCTGCAATGAACAGCTGACTCACCTTATCACATCTCTGTTCACCTGTCCTCCTGTCCACCCATCCATCCACCTTTTTGTTGCATTTCAAAGTAAATTGCAGACATTTAGACCCCCCTACCCCTGCATACTTTCGTATGCATCTCATTAAATAAATTTCAAGATTTGTTTTTTGACAGAACCTATATTTTAAAAAAAATTCTCTGGGGAATTCTTCCCTGGTGATGACCCAAGATAGTGGGTAAGAGTCCCCTTAACCTGGGCCCTGTTTGTTGAAAGATACCTGAGAGAGACCCTTTGCTACAGGTGGGGATCAGAATCCCTGGCTCCTCCTCTCGCTGGCTCTGTGGTGGTATTGGGCAGGTCACATCGCCTCTCCAAGCCTCAGTTTCTTCATCTATAAAATGGGCTTAAAGAAAGCACTTTCTTCTTAGGGTCATCGCAAGGAATAGCTGACACCCCACACATGAAGGAAGCAGCTGGCATGCTGCTTAGCACAGAGGAAACGCTCAGCGAATAGCTGTTTTGAAGACGCCACTGCATGTCTATCCTTCCAGAACAAATCTCTATTCTTAGAGTGGTAGGGTTTGGTCTTTGATCCTGGCACCAGAAGTGTTTTTGACCTGGTCTGCTGGGAACTGTTTATTGGGTAGGTTGAGCATGAGGCCAAGGCCCAGAATTCCCTTTGCCTTACCTTTGTCCTCAGGAAATCCCCTTTCAGGAGGCTTTGATGTCGCTGGGAAGCTGGGGCCCAGGAAGGCCTGCGCAGGGGCTTCCTTAAGGCCCAGAGTGAGGGTGGTGGGTGGGGAGGGAGAGAATCTTCTATAGAGGAAAGGCTCACCCAGCATGTGCCAACAGACCCCGGTCGTCTGTTCATGACAGTAATTTAAGACACCAATATTGCAACCCTGGGAGCTGGTGGGACGTGGCAGCCCCTTGGATATTTTTCAGCAGTTTCCAAGGAGCTGTACGTTAGTTAACACACAAGCCGCCCAGGGAAGCAGGAGAAGAGCTTGCATTCAAGGGATCGAGTTTGCAGATTGGCTGCCCATGGGCTAGAAGTCACCCTCTGATAGCTTTCAGGGCCACACAGCCTTTGTCTGTTTGTCTTGGACTTGAATACGCTGCCAACGATTGTTTAAATGTGGAGATTATACATTAAAATGTCTTGGAAAATCAAATCTGGCAACACTGGACCCACATTCCCACGTGGCAACCACTGGCTGAGAGTGATCGGCCTTTTTATTGGGGCACATGAAGGCCAGTTTGTCACTTACACCAGGGTTACCTGCCTGGCGTCTTTGGCATCTGAGTTTGGTCCCCTGGCCTAGCTGGTGAGCCAGAAACAGACTCAAGTATTTATGGTTCAAGACAGAGGACAGTGAGTATCCTAGATTAGGGCAGTGGCTCTCCTCAGGGGTGACTTAGCCTTCTGGGGACTTTGGCACTTTGGGTTGCCACAACTTGAGGTTGCTGCTGGCATCTAGTGGGTAGAGGCCACCTGCTCAACATCCTACAATACACACAGGTCAGCCCCACAACACAGAATTACCCAGCCCTAGTTGTCAATAGGGCTGAGGTAGAGACACGCTGGATTAGGGATGTCAGCAAACTGGTCTGAAAGGCTGGGATTGAGTCATGGGGCTCAAGAATGGCTCTCTGAAGAGAAGTGGTCTTGCTGGTGGCAGGTACTCGGTGACTGAGCTGGGTTTCAACTGAAAGAGACTGGAGGAAGGCAGGTGTGGCAGAGAGCAGCATGAGCAAAGGTACAGAGGTATCTCTGATGGGAGAGATAAGCTACAGTGTGGACAGTGAGATGGTACATGTGGTTCAAGGAGCATGAAGTTTGGGGTAAGATGGACTTGGCTTTGAGTCCTGGCTCTATCCCTCACTAGCCATGTGGCCTCAAGCTTGTCAGTTGCCCTGAACCTCAGTTTCATCACCTGAAACATGGGGGAAAGAAATGAAGTTATGTAGTTACAGCCTTGTCTATCCCCACTCTGCCATTTGCATTCTGCAATCCAACTGTCCTGAAATACTAGCAGTTTGCTTAATGCTTCATGCTCTCTCTTCTCTGTGCCGTCCATGTGCAGTTCCCTCTGCCTGGTGCACACATTCCAGGTGTATGCCTTACACCATTAGGAGGTTGTAAACCAGATATGCTCAGACTTGTGTTTTGGAAAGATCACTCTGCCAGCAACAAGGCATGGGGTTTGGGGTGTGTGTGTGTGTGTGTGTGTGTGTGTGGGTGTGTGTGTGTGTGCACATGCATGCAGGCACGTACCCATAAATTTCAAGGTCAGAAGAAAGGTAGGAAATTCTCAGGCTCAGACAATGGGGCCTGGGAGCCTCTGCCTTACTCCAACTCTTTGCCATCATTTCTCTGGCCTTTAGGTGCCTTGGGGAAGGCCAGTGGAGACACACTGGGCATGAAGGGGTAGGATTCTTTCTTGGTTAATGTCTTGGTTCCCTTCTCTAAACAGGATCTTAGTTACTCCACAGTTCAGGGTTGAAATGTTGAGGCCAGGACCCCACAGAGGCTATTGCCAAAAAGGCCATAGGCAAGCCACCTAGCTTCCCCAAGCCTCAGTTTCCTCCTCTGAGTAGAACAGTTTACAGAGGGTGTGGCAGTCCATGGGATACTCCCTACAAAGCTCTTAGGACAGAGCCCGACTCAGTATGTCTTTAGCTGCTTTATAAAAACAAAGCTCTTGCTGAATACCTTCTGTATACCTGGTACTGCAGGAGGCCCTGGAGTAGAGGCTCTTAAGGATTGGTCTTGTGACTTTAAGGATTGGTTTAGGATTTGTGGATTTTGCTGATTGGGGACATCTAACTTTTAGGGAGCAATTTCTAGGAATTTACCTGAAACAAGTACACAAAGATTTAGCTCTAAGTAGGTTCACACTAGTGATTTTATAAAGTGAAAAACTGGAAATAGCCTTAAAGTCCAGCTCTAGGATATTGGCGAGATAGGTGAGGAGACAAATAGATCATGTAGTCATTCGAGAGGAAGCAGGGTGTTTGTTGATGTGAAAAGACGTTTATTATTAAAACAAGTTATACGACTTGTTTTATATATCAAAATTATATATACATATACATATTTTTAAAACCTCGATGCTAATACACTCAAATAATAGTAGATATCAGTGAATTTTACATTTTTCTAATTCTAGATTTCCCTTTCTAAATTTTCAACAATGAATGTGCATTTCTTTTGTTAAAAATATAGTAATATATGTATTATTTATTAACTTTTATATTATTTTGTTATATTCCTTTCAGTATTTACTAGTGATTATTAACCTCAGAGTACCCTACTGTGCAAGGCGATGTCAAGATGAATACTCACTCACGTTCCCCAGATGATTTGCATGCATGCCAAATTTTGAAGTGCGTTAAACACAGAGTTCTTTACCTCGCTTTATTTTTTAATTCATTTCAATTCATGCCTGGCTTGGGGACGTTTGTTTCACGAGCGCATGCGCACTCCTGGCGCCTAGTGGGCGGGGCGCTCCGCCTGTGCGTCCGGATGTCCGAGTTGGCGGGAAAG